CAAGCCTTGAAGGATTATAATCTCTGATAGTAATTAACTTTACCAGATTTTCAATAAATTATAATTGTTAAAACAACATTTATTGAAGTAATATAGTATGAATGTAATGTATGGTATAACTCACGATAGCCTTCATATTGTCAAGTAGCGTGCCGACGGGGTGCGCAGGGACAGTGCAGGTGGCTGCGCGCGCGCCGCTTATATACGGTGCGCGGCCGCGGCCGCCCCGCTAGCACACATCTAGCTCTCCAAGTACCTAGGGCGGATATGTTAGCTTTAATAATATCAGTGACTCATTACTTCTATGCAATAGTTTTAGTTTCAAAATTATGTTATTTTATGAGATGTGGACAATATGCAGGTACAGGTAGGCACCTCGAAACACATATTAATAAATACATATTGTCATCTTCATTATCTTGAAAGAAAAAATTAAAACAACATGTATTGTACGGGTGTTTCAACGATGGCAAGTCATGATATCACAACAATAAAACTGACCTTCTGATTGTAACTCCTCATCTCACTCGACAACATTGGTTCAGTAGTTAGGGCTCACGGCGGTCGCACTGGAAGTTACATACTTACCGATTCATATGCAATACGCACTATAAACTTAACTATACTGCCAGTTGGTAAAAACATTTTCGAGTAAAAATGTTATGCTGAATGAATCGGGTAAAATATTTAGGGTATCTCATGAGTATCTACAAGCCTTAAATTTATAAAAAGGCCGAAAACAATTAGGAGGAAATCAGATATTATCTAAGAGGCTTGATCCTTCCCGACATCTACAACTTCTGATCAGTGAAAGGTTTTTACCTTCCAAGGTTTAATTACGAACGTTACATGAAAGGGTTTTTAAAAGAAATACTTTACTTTTTACTCAAATAGTTTTCTTAATTTGTTATAATGTTTGTTATTGTGCTTATTGATTAGAGACTTTAGACGTCACGCTTGACACGGCAGGGCTCAGGAAGGGTGCCGATCAGAAAGTCGGAAAGGTAACACGATGCTGTGGTGATCTCTTGTGTAATGAAGCTGGTGAAGTAAAGATATTCAATCTATAGTTACATGTTTACATAACAATAACATTTCTGATTTATATTAATTACGACAGTGTATTAAAGTTTTGGTGGTCTGTTCGCAATGCTCCTTTGTTTCTGGTAATATCGAAAACTGCTGCACCGAATTAACAGGACTTTAAATGGAGAGTAACTTTCCATGAGGAACTGGCTATTAGTAGAAACCTTGTATAATCGGCTGCGTCCCGTCAGCGAGTTTATTTTTCAGTAGCATTTATTGTTTGTGTCATGTCTTTTAATTAAACTAAGTATTTCTCAAAACGATGTTCTTTAATACTAATTCTTTCTGAAACGTGTATGATTTTGGAGTCTTCAAGTCTAGTGTGAATAGATATTAATTAAGCTAGGCGACCTCTGTCGACCACATTATCACTTAACATCCGGTGGGATCATGGTCAAGTGTTGACTTATTGAATACTAGCTGTTGCTCGCGACTTCGCCCGCGTGAAATTACAAATGTAATCTATTACGTTCTCCCTTTTTTTTAAACCTATTACCAAAAGTATTAACTTAGTAGTAATCTACGTAATAACAGAAATCTACCGATGTAAGATTCCAAATTTCTAAGCCCGGTAGCTTGTAAGCTGATTTTTCCGTTACCCTTAATGTTTGTGTTCGCGATATCTTCTGAACTATTTGTCCAATTTAAATACTGTAAAGGACAATTTAATTCTACACTAAATTTTCCTGCCAACAAACGCATTTATTTGGATAAGGGTTAATATTGAAACCAATAAAAGAACGCTGCAAATAGCGTGAGGGTTTTAATTCAATTTTTAAACAAAAAGTGGTTATTGTAAGAAAACCATTAAAGATAGATATACGCTGTCGCGGACTTTTCTGTAGAACTTTTTGAGATCTACAATTCTTACATATATCATTTTTATGTACCTCTAACGGTTTAGGCATCGTAAGCCGAGAAAAATTAAAGTTAAGTGAATTTTTAACGCCGGCGTCCAGAAACACGCTTTTTATTAATAGTACCTAAACATTAGTAATAATAAAATATAGCCTATGTTACTCACAGATAAATTACCTTTCTTATGGTGAAAGAATTTTTAAAATCGGTCCAGTAGTTTTTGAGTTATTTCAATATATATAAAAATACAAAGTTTTCCTCTTTATAATATTAGTATAGATATAGATAACTTTTATCGTTGTTTGGCGTTGGTTTAAATCTGTGGTAAGCCTTTAATGGTAAAAAAATTAACTTTCAGTAGGTTTAGAAATAAGCTGTTTAGATTGGCAACCGTATATCCAAGAGAATAAAACATCGCGAAAATAGATGTTTAATCCATTTTGTAGCTCAACAGAACACAAGGAACTAACAGTAATCATGAAAAGCTACTTTGTTTTATAAGATTTATAACTTGTTTTACAAGGAGATACAATTTTGGGTTTTATTATTTTATAAGAGGAGAAAACGAACCACAGGAACACCGAGGTGTTCATCTACGCCCGTGGACATCCGCAATACTAAAGAAATACCATACCAAACTGCAGATGCGTTGTTAGCCAGTTGATTTTTTAAACTCATGTAGTCATTTAAGCTTTATCATAATTATTACTTTTAATGTACGATTAGAAGACGACATAAATGTCCGATATTAACATCTGTATTGTTTGTAACGAGATGCATGCTTTCATACAGAAATATTTGATGTAAGCGGTGAGTTTACTGTACTACTAATAGATGACTATATTCTTATTTACAATAACAATTTGTGGATAGGTAAAAGGCACGTAGTTAACAGTTTAAAACAAAGAAAAAACAAATGCTATTTTTTTATAAATTTATTTAACTTAAATACTAATAAAAATAAAATTTGAAGCTATCATTAACTTTGTACATACAACAAATTACAACATGCAAAGAATAGACAGCTGACACCGACAGCTGCAACTCTCAACTGTGGCGATATCAAACAATCAGTTGTATCTTGTTGTATGATACTAAATAACGTGGCTGTATGTGTGTGTGTTAGTGAATGTAGCCGTGGCCGAGTCCCAGCGAGCTGTAGCCTCCGTGGCTGCCGTAGCCTCCGTAGCCTCCGTATCCACTGTAGCCGCCGTGGCCGCCGGAGTAGCCGTGCCCGAGGCTGTACGAGGTGACAACTCGGCGTGTGACGACGGGAGCTGAGACGATGTGACCGCTGTAACCGCCGTAGCCGAGACTATGGCCCCCATAGCCGAGGCTGTGTCCACCGTAGCCGAGGCTGTGGCCCCCGTAGCCTAAACTGTAGCCACCATAGCCGAGACTGTGTCCTCCGTAGCCGAGGCCGAGCAGACCGCGCTTCTCGTTCTTCTTCTCTTCAGCGCAGTTTACTGCGGCAATCAGGACTAATAAACACACCTGAAAATTGAAAAAATCGTATAAGAGAAGTACCGACAACAAATCTTAGATTATAGAATATTAAAGTTTTAGGATGATTTTTAATGGTTATCGGTTGACTTACGATAGCCTTCATGTTGCAGGAGTGGTTGTTGTGTTGCGGGGTGAGCAGGACACTGGATATGGAGTCCGCGCACGCACAGCTTATATACGCGGGCAGCCACGAGCTGTCGCGCAGCCCCTCTTCACGGCGGGTGCCAGTGCCGGGGTGGAAGCCACACCTTTCATAATCTCAATGTCACAGGGCTATTGTGAAATTGTTTCATAATAAAAAAAAAACAAATTACACAGTACATATGAAGATATCTGAGGTATATTACAGTTAAGTTGCTGTTTTGTAACGACTAATAACTGTTTATCTGCATATCCAATCTTTGTAGATATTAGAATTAAATTTATTGTGTGCTGATTATAATACAAATATGATGTATAGTTTTTCAAGGAAGTTTATTTACGTGTGAGGAGTCTTTCGCGCCGGCCGATGGCAGTAAGATCGATAGCTATCATACAAATAGAGTGATTTCTCACTTCTAATACTACTGCTATAAGATTTTTAGCAGGCATTGCTCTGAAAATTCTGCTAATGTTTTGGCACATTTACTGTATTTACGTTTCTTTTTATAATCCAAAAAAATAAGGAATACTTTTTTGATCAGCGGTATTTAAAAAAAGCCGAGGTAAATGGTATGTCATCATAACTTAAATCAGCATTGTTTTTGTTTAATCCATTTGAGTTCGAATAAGTTTGATGAAAGGCGGATGTTTTAAGAATATTTGTACCTACAATATCTTATAAGTTACATGTTTGTTTTATTATTTTAACAGATTGCGTTAAGAAATTATGAAACTTAAAATGTCGTTTAACGCATTACATCGAGGTTTATTAATCGGCTTATGTAAACATTTTTGTCCGTTAATTTGCTATGAAATCACACGAAATCTCCAATCCGATATATATTTATACAATGTTATGTGAAATTAAGGTGATGTTGATCGAATCTAATAAATTGGTGCAGAAAATTGCATAACATATAGTGCATATGAGGCGCGGCGAGGTGAACTTGAGGCGGGTGTCCGACGCGACGTTGCGCCGCTGCAGCTCTGTTTGATAATTACACTAAGTAAGTACTCAATGCCGCAACTCTCAAGTAAATGGAAACCGCTTGTGAAATACTTTTTAACAAGAGCACACGGACACTGTGATATGAAAGTAGGATACTCGGTGGCTTCTGGTGCCTGAATTTGTCATCACTATCTATAATTTAATCTATAAATTTTAAAACATTTTTTTAGAATTACCTCATTGTTTTTTAATGTATGTGTGGTGTAATGTATCTAGTGGAAAAACCATATATCTAACTAATGCATTGAAAGTAATAAAAGTCGTCTCCTTTTTTCATAACAGTCATCTATAATGTTGTATGTTTAACATAATGACAGACAGGGTCGTGTTAACGGGGATGGAAGGATTGCGGTCCATCCGGGTATCATTACTTAAGTTGCCCCAGACATTGGACGTATTAATTTTAGGAGACCCTTCTTGACCCCCAAACACGTAATACAGTTAAGATGATCCTACATCTTGTACTTATTTGAAACCTGACAATAAACAAAAATGACAATCTAGAGAAGTACAATGAACGCAGTGCTCTTGTAAAACTTAAACAAAAATAATTTGCTTGCTCGTCGACTGAGTTATTTCAACGTATTTCGTAATAACAACCCAAATTAGCTCCAGATAACTCGTTTAAGGATATTTCCAATTTTGCGACTATTTAAAAAGCGGTTAATGACCAAACGAGTGCGGAGCGCAACCTGTTTTATTTAGTAAATGTATAAGTGCGTTTTTTGCTTCACAATTTCTATCTACGAAATTCATGCTTTACAACCTCTTATTTGAAGAAAGAAAAAAAAAACAAATTGGAACAATTCAAAACCTAAAACATCTCTAAGTATGATTTTAATACATCTAGTTATAGTAATATTATAAATGTTATTGTATTTTTATTTAGTAAATAGCTCTAATATATCTTAAATTATATTTTAATTTCACGCGGGCAACTGTAAACTGCAACGCAAAAAAGTATCACATTCTCTATGAGATATTGGACTCGACAAGTTTGACTTAGTTTAAAACTTTTAACGAGAGAGTTGTTATCACTGAATGACAAAACCTGTGTTGTTTGCGAATGCAGAGCGCAGGGACAACTTCCGGTGATATACGATATCCAGCATGTCGGCAGTATCTCAGTGGCGAGTCGCGTATCATGTTGCCGCGCCGATCATTGCACAACCGACTGCCCAGTGCGGAGCAAAGCGTACAATCGCCTTCTTCCGTATTTACAGTACTTTTTAATAGGAATACTTTTTGCTGTATTTAAATAAACAGGCGCTATCTTTTTATACAAAATTAAGTATTTTTGCAATTATTGGGTTATTTTACACAGACATTCTTGGAACTAAAAATAATTTAGATGTTAACATAACCCCGAATGGCAAATGCTTTATGTAAAAGTTGTACTATATCTAATGTGTTTATTTGCCTAAACAACTCTTAAGCGCCTTCATTTTTCTTGCTTGAATAAATACTTAACTATTAACTATATTTAATTTATAGGGACTAACAGGGGAAGAGTAAGTTTTTGTCGGTTGTCGCGGATTATTGTGAATATGGTGACCATCGTCATGTAGACTGTGATTAGAACAACTAAATAAAACGAATAGTTTTTTATGTTCATTTTTATTACAAACGTAAATAAATAATTAGTACTAAAACTACGTTAATTTAATATAACAATAATTAGTATTATTAGGCAATATTTACACAAAACGTGGCACGCTCCCAACTCTCACACATTTATTGCAAGCAATTATTTGAAATGGTATCATTTTTAACACAAATAATGTATACGGTAGACTACCGGAAGTGGTCGAGTGGCTCGTTGATGGGGGGCTGCAGGCCGAGGGGGATGTGGTTGTGGTATTGCTGAGCTGGCTGCGACGCATCGCCCTCCCGCCCCTCCAGCCCCTGTTGCGGCAGCCCGTAGTCCGCCGCCGGCTGCTGACCTACCTCGTACTCGTGACCGGGCTGGGAAAACTGTTGGTCATGTTGCGCGTATTGGTGGTCGGGTTGCCCGTATTGTTGGCCGTGCTGTGCGAATTGTTGGTCGTGTTGCGAGAATTGTTGGTCGTGTTGCGAGAATTGTTGGTCGTGTTGTGCGAATTGTTGGTCGTGTTGTGCAAATTGGTGGTCTTGTTGTCCAAATTGCTGGTCGTTTTGTGCATATTGGAGATCATGTTGGCCGAAGTGCTGATCATGTTGTTGGTCGTTCTGGCCGAATTGTTGGTCGTTTTGAGGAAATTGCTGATCTTTTTGAATAGATTGTTCATCTTGATGTCCAAACTGCTGCCCGTATTGAAGATAATGCTGGTCGTTTTGAGTATATTGCTGGTCATTAGGTATGTACTGCTGGTCGTGTGGGGCATACTCTTGTCCGTGGTAAGAGTAGTCGGTGTTTTGCTGGGAGAAGTCTTGCTCTGGCACACCATACTCATGCCCAGGCTGCAGCGCGGCGTGCTGGTGGTGGAGCTGGTGATGCCCGTACTGCGTCTGCTCGAGCTGCTGCTGAATGTGGTGCTGCAGCTGGTCGTGGAGATCATCGTACTGGCCACCACCCGTATGGTGCTCATATACTTGAGTCCCCTGCTCCTGCGTAAACTGGTGATGGGGTTGGGGTTGAGCAAAATGCGCTTCCGGGGAGTGAGTTGGAGTAAAGTCTTGAGCTTGCGTTGTGACTGGCGACCAGCCTTCGTGGTCTAAAGTGGTCGATGGCTGAGTAGGCTGCAGATGGACTGTAGGTTGAGCTGGCTGCAGGTGAAGAACAGGTGCCGGCAGCGTCGGCGGCGCGGGTTGTAGCAATGTGGGTGAGTGAGCCACGGCAACATTTGTTGCGTGTTGCACCACGCCACCCTG